ACTTGAATCTCTCGTTTATGATATTCTACAACTGAATGTGCTGCACACAGGGCGCCTCATGTTTCAGTTGTCAAGTTATTCGAAATGTCGCAGTATGTCTTCATCAAGGAAACTACTCACAAGGTTGCTTGTGGAAGCCACACTGATTTGCAAATGAATATATTTCCCTGAAACAGTCCAATTTAGATTCAAGTAGAAAGTAACGTTGACGTAAACTCGGGGATTGCGCCCACCTGATGAGCCCCAAGAAGGGCGAAACCGGTCATGGGCTGTCGAAGAGTTTTCAACAACCTTGTGAGTAGTTTCCTTTATTAAATTATAAACCATTCTTTTTGGAACCCTGTAGCAGTTGCCATAAATATTATGAGGTGTTCCTGCAGAGTAAACGACCATGAATTATTCGTGTTATGCTTAATGTCTTGTCGAGTCGATAATATCTCGGGTGAGCAGAGAAATAGAGTCTCCTTTAATTTAAAACTACTTCAAACGAAAAAAGGGCAGATATTCCTGTGTAGTGACTCAGTTTTTTAGGTTTAGGATAATACTTCGCATTAACTAATCGTAACGCGAGAATACTTGCTGTTGAGAATAATGATAATGGTTTACGTGGGCCGTTGGTGCGTTCTCTGAGCTGGGCAATTCAACTACAAACGCCACATCGCCAAACGAAATGACGTCACTAGGGAGCGGAATCGGTGGTAGCACTAAGTCAGCCGTTGTGCTGATCACGGACGCACCACTATATCCCACTCCGCTCCTTAACAGCGCACAAATGACGTCGATTCAATTAGTAGTGAAACGTGTGACATTGACCATGGTCATTAGGTATCACGTTGTTGCTCACACAGAAACGGCTTCCTTTGGAAGGAAACTCGATCGCGACTGCCACATTGAATCGAAGAACGTAATAAAACTGTCTTAAAATTAAAACTTTGTGTAGCCGTTTTCTGTGATTTCTCCTCAACTCCAGCCCCACTATCAGATTCTGCTTGAAAAACAAATTGCCACGTTCTACCACCAGCTTTTGTGTGTACTCATTCGTATGCTCGTGCCAGCATCATACACAAGCTTTGTTCGCTGCCTTCTTCGTTCTTATTTTGTGTTTCTTTATCTTCCGCACGCAATATATATTGCGGTGGCTTTAAACCTACTGTCCGCTGTTTTTTGGTCTCCGGTCGAGTTAGCAACTTATTACTCCCGAGATCTTTGAATACCTATCTTGTATCAACAATGCACTGTTCGTCTCATCTGGCATTGTGTACCGCATCAACTGAGGCTTCCTATAATTTGGTCATCGTCGCTTTCCTAGACAAAGTCATGCATTTTCCTACGTCATATGAAATTCTGTAGTAGAAACGCGAGGAAACCTTCGACGGAAAGACGATTTGCCGTCACGACTTTTCCTACCGCAACTACTCTTCGAGGAAATAAGTTTCTTGAATGGCTGATATACTCTTCAAGAGCAAACGCCAGCGCGTAAATGTCTGAAGACATTGACCCAGATCTATTAATCGTCCATTCGTTTAAACTTGTCATTATCGCAACAGGAATCGAATTTAATGAAGCCAGAATGTGCAGTATAGCAACACAACAACTCCACTGCATTCGGGCTCCAAATAATTATCATCGTCTCATTTCTCATAGCGGAATGTATCCTTTCGAATAATTACGTGTTCAGCGGTTTTTCGAATTATCCTAAGTGGCGTAAGATCAGTTGTCTGAACTGAATAGCAGTGAATGAAGTCCACCTTGAATGTTTTGGGGCATGAATGTACAAGCATGCTGGACAACTGGAGCGTTCACTCCAACCGAAGCGGAAAATTCAAGTGTGCGCTAAGAAAAGCTGTTACCCCCCCGCCCCCAGAATACAAACGACGTCCCTTTGGTAGGTGCAGAAAACGTGTGATGCTGTTAATGATAGCTATTCGCCGTAGATTTTCCGTTAGGCGACGCGTACGTACTGTAACACATCTTCAAAGTTTTATTTTGTCATCTTTCCGGGGCTTGAGGCTTATTGTCACACACTGTACGCCGACGTCTGTCTGAGGGAGTTGCTTGACACGATAAGTCATTAAAGCTATGATTATCAGTGTATCTTCGAGTTAACGATTTCCACTGTGGCGGCTTGACTATTACTTTTTCTGCTTCATCTGCACATTCACCAATTATCAGTAGAGTATACTGATGGGTAGTTTTGGGGAAATTGATGGACCTTGAAATGAGAAGTCCATCTGCCAGTGACATGAACACAAAGCACATCTGAGACTGTACTCAAATCACAGATCTCCTCCTTACCGGAAGCGTGCCGTTCTAGCTGAGCGAAGTTCAGGTATATGATTATGATGGAAAGCGACCATCCTCTGCGGCTCGATTGATCCAGCCCTCGTCCGGTTGGCCGAGGTCGTTGGTTCGAGTCTAACCCCGCTAGACGTGTCTTTTCGCTCATGTTGTATGATTAAAGTAAACTTATTGCCTTTTACCTTGTGTGCTACCTATGTAATGGTGGATACTAGTAATGGGGCATGCGAGTACTATGTTTTCTCGTGAATCTCACTTTTCAGTAGACGCCAAACGGATTTACAATGGAAGTTTTTATCGTTATGTAATTAATATCTTCCACAGATCTACCTATCTGGGTGAAACTTTCTCTGCACATGTGAACTTGCACAATGAAAGCAACCAAATATGCTACAATGTGGAGCTTAAAGTGAGTCGTTCTTATTGCAATCACGATGAAGGTCTTTCGAGCGGAACGGCGCACTCGAGGATGACGCTGTAGATGGTGCTATAAACCGCCTGATTTTGGTAAATTTGGTGTATCCTTAGGTGGGGTCAGTCCCTTATTCTTCGAAGGAACAACGTAGCATGTGACCTGGATGCAGCTCAGCTCTGACGGCTGCTAAAGTGTAAGTTAGTCTGTGAGGTTTTTACCGGGGGTCTGCTCAGAACACTCCCTGTGGAGGAGAAATCCTGTAAAGGGCTTGAATATATCGCCTTTTCTGTCCTTTGTTTGCTTACCTATCCACCTTCGTTCTGGAGTGGTACACAGGCGAGTTGCGAGTTGCTGCCCCGAAATTTTTCCCCTACCTAGTGGCTATAGACTAATTTTCAGACAGTTTATTGCTTCTAAACTTTTTCTAACGGAAATAAATTGAAGTATGTCTACTACGCCTGCCTTGTCTGGCTTTGGTCCTTGTGAATTTTCGGTTGACTAGATTTATTTAATCCATAACCGCATGGACAGGAGTATGGTACGCATGCTCTGGGTGAAAATTCTCATCTGGTGAATTCTTGCCGTTGTGCCTTTAGGGATGCGTGCATCTCGTTGTTGATGAAAAAAAATGTTAGAGTCGCTTATTATCCATTTCAAACACTCAAATAGGACAGACAAGACAACGCATAACACAGTCGTCTTTCCCACTGGCGAAATTTCATTCAGATCGGTTAATGAGTTGGTGATCTAAAACTTGAAGATGAAGTTCACGGAAGTACGTGTGTTTAATTATTCACGCTTGCATTTTATAGGTCAGGGTTTGGACGGCGGATGCTCGAGAGCCGTACCTCAATCAATCACACTGGATCTCGCTGACTGCGTCTCATATTGCGCCTCTGTTGCTCACTTCTTACAGGACCCATTAGTGAACATCAGTTTTTGATGTCTGTCCCTATTGTCTTGCGGTGTTCTGAAAATTCCCATTTAGGTGAAAAACAAACATGGATTGCCGGACATGTTTCCAGCAGGATCTTTTGAAGTCATACAGTTGCAGAGGTTAGGACAGCAGTGTTTGATACAGTTTGGTGACCACAGTGGACATCAAAGGAGAGGGGAATACGGTGTTGGCCACTTGTCAAGAAACAGGTAGTCCGAGTCAACAATAATCCGTTAGTACAGACTGTGTTTTGGTTGTATATTCAGCACCGGCTTTGTGTGTTAGGGGAGATGAGCTCCAACATATGAACAGAGCGCTTCTATCGACAAATAATTGAGTCGCGATGATTGATGGCACTAGCCCCAGCCACTGCGATTGTGCGATACTGTATCAGTCTTGGCTGATTAGCAGGCGCCTTGTAAACAATAGGGGAACCTTGAAAGTACAACCGTGTCGTCTAGGTTTTTCACGATTGAGCTGGTTATCCCTCTGCTAGTCCCAGCAACTGACCAGGGTGTGTTGTTTTCCCTCGTTCTTTGGCCGAGTTGCCTCGTTTTGTGTCCAATGTATTTTGCTGCACATCAGCGAGAGAATGCATACACTAAACTACTTTAGGCGCTGGCAGGCACTCTATCTTGGTAACTGAAGAAACACAGAGTTTTGCCCGTAGACCGAGTTCGAAGTGTTGCGGCAGGGAAAACTTCGCTCAGACTGGTTCAGTAGGTCGAACAGCAGAAACCGAATGTTTTCTCCTGATTGAAGAAACCAAAGTTGTTTGAAAATCGCTTATTATTGCTCAACACACGCCACCGAGTTTCTACTAAAATAACGGAGATAATTTTTTGATAGACAGTAATTATGTAATAGATGGAGCCACCGTTTGTGTCGTTTGCATTTGAGCAGCTAACTGTGTTGCTCGGGATCTCGGTGGATACCAAAAGTCGTTACACATAGAAATGGGTTATGAATTTTCATCTTGTTTGACCAATATTTGGGGTACTCCTTATACCATAAACTGGATTAACCCGTATTTTACGGCTATTGACTGGGTTGAGAAACTCAAGTGACATTTAGTGGCGGTTTCTTTTCGTTTCCTGCCTGATTTAATGTGTTAGGCTGATAGCCGTTTCTGTTAGTTGCTAGCATACCTACATATTATTGTCTGAACGTTATTTACTAGATAACGGGAAAACTTCAAGATGGGCTTGTTTGGTGCACCAATGCTCTGGCTCATTCATATTTTAGGGCTTAAACCAAATTGGTTTTTCGTCATAAAACGATCCATGTCCTGCGCAGGTTGGAAATGAGCTTGATAGATTGAAGTATGAATTCACCACGTACTGCAAGTTGTATAGCTTGCGCGGCCTAGTTGTTGGTGTGACAAAGGCCGATGTTTCCCTAGGTATATGTGGTGATTTTTGTCACTTTCGTATGTCCCTCTGGAGGCTAACCAATACCCTCTGGGCTTCTTGCTAACTTCGAACTCTTAAAAACCTACTTCTCAAATTCCTTTTACACTAATGCAACTGCTTTTCGTATTGAAAAAAATATTGATAACTGGGGTTATATGTTCATCAGATCTTAAGCCCATCGTTCGAGACGATGTTTCTGTGGGTGGATTAAGGCCCCATCTTTCTCAGAAGTGGTTTCACTATCGCCCACTCTTCTAAGATCATTTGATTGGATTAGTTGGATCCCCTTCAGGGCTTTTGTGATCCACCAGCACTCTGTCAATCCTCAGGCTCCCCATTATTCGGCATTTGAGAGATCTGCGCGCGCCACCACAGTCGTTTTTTGCTGGCATGGTTTTCCTGGCTTCATTCAGAGCTGATAATCATGACGAGATCCAGTGTTCATTGTGTCTTTCACCTTTCTTCAGTAATCATCCATATTACTGTTTTTTTCCATCGAGTTCTAGGAGCTTCTGAGCCGACTCAACTCGATATTGTGGAGCTACAGAGACGCTTTGAATGTGGTGAACTGAATGCATCAGCGGATGCATTCTACAGGGAAAGCGTGCCGGCAGAATGTTCGGCAAGTGGTCTAGTCCAAATTGAACGACAATCTTGTGTCGAAGCTTTCCAGCGGTAGCTGATTGTTGTGTAGTCCAACTGAGTCCACGGCTAATTGCATTTGATGGCCTTCAAGTCACACGATTAGAACACTTTTGCTCAAGGTTTTTACCGGCTAGAAACAAATGGTGTTCAGGACAATTTAAGAAGTCGTTCACCATTATCCATGCGGTGGGTGTTAACCCCAAATCGGTCACCAAGACGAGCTTAATCTGGATTTAGCCGGCCAACCCGAGCATGCACATCACCTGTCAGTCACGGTATCTGTACTTCTCGGTGACCGTTGTAACGATAACAAATCTCGATAGAAGCTGTCTGTCTCATCCTCAGACCTGCCGTCTGTTGGAGCATATGTTGGCACAAACAAATCACTCTTTGCCACTTTGAGATGCATTGATGTTGATTGAGCCAGTCAACCTATGAGTGCAAAGACGACTGTTTACTGGAGTACAGTCCAGTAGGGCGCATTCAGCCTTGGGGCTGCACAACTCCCATGCTGCAGATATGACGGGTCATTGCATCAGGATCACGAGACACCTGAAAATTAAAGTGCGAGAAATCTATATTAGCACTGAACTTAGGTCTTGTATGCGTTTTTCCTAGACACAACATAAATCGATCGAAAGAGAGAACAGGGTCTGAGCGAGGGAAACCTGTTGGCCGATTTGACACAGCATAAGGACGTTAAAACCGGCAATGTGTTACGTGTCCCTCGAATTTACTGTTTATTTTGATTTATTTCACTAGGCAGTAGCTTAGATATGGAGCGGCGGTTAAGCGATTGACGGCTAAATAAGTCAGAAAGACCTGAGTTAAGAACGTGTGGGCAGGAGTCAGTAAATGAAACGAAGGGAGAATAGTGCTTCCGGGCTCCTTAAACCGAAGAATTGAGTTTGGTTCAGATACCCCACTTTAACTCAAAAGTCTGACCAATGAGGCAGCGAGAGGATGCAAGTTTTTTTGGTGGAGGAGGGACCCTGCCCCTAGCCTCTGACTCAAAAGTTTGAGCCGTGAGACAGCAGCTGTTAGGATTTTCTGGAAGGACCATTCTTGGAACCAGTCAGTCAACAGTCTGGCCCACTTGGCTGCAGGGGGCTGGATTGCCCAAGGGAGTAAAGCACAACTGTTTGACTTTTAATGCGGCTGTCTACTGTAGGTGCCCTGTGAACAGCACTGGACTCTTTGGTTTTGAAATTATTTCGAGCACACTGAGTAATGCGTCGGTAGTCAACCGCTAGTCGATCGAAATGTGTGATTATTAAAGACCGACCTTTTCTAACCCATCCGTTGGGGGTCGGAATGTTCATAAATATGGAAATACTGGCCACCTGAAGGAATAGCCTTCAAATTCCTATCACAGATGACAATCAGATTTTACCTCCAGACCGCCTCTTGGAGTACGGGGACTTGCTGTTCTTCATCGGGCCTCTCCCCATTAGTATTTCTGTCTTGGTTGAACCTTTAGGAACTGAACGCCAGCCATAATAGCCCGTAGGATCACTGCAGGGTCGCCACCACGACAAGGTGACTTCTTTAGGTCACTCTAGTTTTGCTAGTCACCACTCGGAACTTTTCAGAATATTTTGGGTTCAGTTCTATTCGGATGCAGAGACGATCGTTTTACGAGAAACGAACAGACAAACGTTATTTCTGGATCACGCCGCTTCTCAAATCCCGACAAATACTAAGGGGGTGAATCTGTAGTAATTGGGTCAGTTTTAACCAATGACGAAATCGGACAATTTTTTATGAACCTGTTTAATGCACTGCAAAGCTACCTGAGATCAGCTGTTCCGTTACCAGGTGACATGTTCCTGATTATTGTGAATGCCTCCTTTTTCTTACCGACGGTGTTTGTGTTGAGATAGGTTTTGATGAAGGGATGCATCTTTAGCTAGCTCTGTGCAGGTTAGAAATGCAAAGCTGTTAGTGACACAATGAAACTCAGTCTACAACTAGGGTATTTCACGATTTTCAAGAAATTCAACATTTACGTAGCAGACTCCGTCACTCAATTTAACCGTTAAGCTGAACCCTTTGCTTATATCTTCAAACAGAGACTGATGCAGTTGAAAGGCAGCAGAACCATTTAGCAAAACTCGTAAATTCTTTTGCGACACCTGGTTTCTTGGCACAAAACCAGTGTGTCTCTTGGGTGACATAATTTTGCCCTCGACCGTATTTTGGTAGAAATCATTACATGGAGAGACAAAGCACCGAACAACATTGGTCTGTTTTATGCTCCAACGTCCCCGAAAACATGATAAATTCCCGCGGAGGAGGTACTTATATTTATATGTATGTATATATGTATATGTATACGTATGTATGCATGAATGTATGTATGTATATGTATATGTATGAAGCTCAAGCTGGGGGGGTGCTGTGTGGTTCAGATCTCCAGCAATATGGTTCGATATCTTCTAGTCAAAATATGTTAAACACCTCTCTATCACTTGGATCCGAACCAGATCGGGAACTGCTGGGGTGTAGCTCTCTGACGGTTGTATTGGTTGCGCGGGATACAGAACTGTACGGTAAAGAAAGTGTTTTTTTCGGGGAGACAGGTAGGTAGGTACACTAAATGATAACCGATTGAGGGCTGCAATATCAACTTTTCGGGAGTTAATCTCTGTCTCTCTGAATAGCTTTCTGTTTTGGAGAGTTGGTAGATATAAGTTTGAGGTTGATTTCTGACGTTCGAATTTTTGCATCGTAGTGAGATGTGAAGTGAAGTGAATGGCTACACAACTCCACAAACTTTAAGGTTATCCTCAGATTATTCTGCTTTGGGACACTGCAGTTTGCTCGTAAGTTTTACTTTCTGGTCCAGAAATGCTGATAACGGAACTACGCGCAAAAGACAGGTGAAATCGCAGTATTTTGCTTTTTGTATAATTGATCCACCAAATATGCTTGAATAATGGATCAATAGAAAACTATTAAACACGGACAGGTGCAAGTTTAAAAAAAATTGCAGGTGTAATACTGTTTGTTGTGGCTGGATTCCGAAAAGTGCGTTTGTCCTTCAGATGTGTGTAGAGGGGTCGGGCAAATGACTGCAATTAGCCGCTCCAGGCTGTTCCCTCTGGATCGTGCACTGCGACCAATTCGTTTCAACCAGCTGTTGACTTATTCAGTCATCCAAAGACAACCGGGGACCAGTGTGTTAGGTCCAAAAGAGAACGAAGGGATTCAGTGTCTCTCGTCGGCGTTTTCCCATGAGATAGCGGATGCCGACTATAGATTATCTACTGATGCTGTAAGTATTGTCAGGGGTCAAAAATTCAGCGAAACTATTTAAGACGTTGACGTTGACAGTGTTTCAGGTTTCTTCGCGTTTGAAAGCCGCTCTCCCGAGGTCCAGACATTTGTTTTGACGGACTATTCCCCGATACATATTTTCCTGACCGTTGCATGTCAATTATCTGGAGCACTTAGATACTGGCCAACTTAATAAGTTGGATGCCTTGATTCTCTTTATTTCACCTTCCCGCTTCTGACGGGACATCTTCATGGATGATGGAAATCTGAGAAGAAACCATATTATTGCACTCTATGTACGTATTTTGTGAAATGGATCAAATGTGAAATCGAATTTAGCCTGCTGACCGGCCTTCGAACTGTACTACATCGCTGCAATTTGTGGCTTGTTTAAAGGAACATGATAAATTCAGCTGATTTCTAGTCTGCATTGCCATTGCTCAAGATAGTCTCGGCCGACGCACTTAGGTCTAATCGGATTGCTTTCAGAACCACTTTTCGCGACCGACAAGCAATCCGTGATTATTATGGTCACTTTTATTATGATGATGCGTTCTTATATATGTTTGCACTTCAATTTCCGCTTCGATTCGTCTAGTTTGGTTCTACCCTGTTTGAGAAAACGATGGGACTATGCTGTCCTTGAGTGACGTTTGCGTTTTTCTGACACGGGCCTACTGGTGCATGAGTTGTTCAGTAGCCAACCAACTTTTCTGGACTCTATCTTAATCACCCTTGAACAGAACGTGCGGTACAGCATTTTTGGCCATGCGACACCTGGCAGTGGGGTTTCCCCTAATTTCTTAATGGGTCTGTAGAACTGAGGATTGTATTATCCATAAATCAGGGAGATTCCACCATTCTACCCATTCATTTCGTTGATCTTTATATATTATTGTTAGAATGCGTGCTACAATATCTTGGAAGTTCGGCCTCTGTTCCAGATGATCTCCTCACTCTGAAATTTTGTAAAAAAAAACGAATTAATGAACTGTATATTGCATAAGGAATACAGTAGAATAACGAAATTAACCATTGGTCAAGGATTTGATAACTTTAATCCATAGATTTTTACTGTCACTGTCAGTAATGCTGACGGTGATAGTGGTGGATTTCATAGATGTCTCTTGAACAGAGCCAAACAAACGCAACGATATATGCGATGGTCAAACATTCACTGTTATTTTTGCTAGTCAGTACTATTCATCTACTTCATAATCACTTTATTGCTCCCCGCCTTTTCTGTTAATCTGATCAAGGTTTCATTACACAACCGCATTGAATGGGTCACTTTGTCCACAACTGGGACACTTACAGGAGCATCCCTTCCTGCGCAGTCACCGTCCAGCCCTGAAATGAGTAGCCAGCGCAGTTGTTCCGGTGGTGTGGACCTCCATCCCGGTCAATCCCTCAACGCCATAATTCATCATGAGTTGAAGGAGTTGGGAATTCACACATTACGCTGCGTTGCTTCCTACTGTTTGTCCTCCACAGCCTCGACCGGAAGCCAAAGTGTAGTAAGCCCACTCACACCAAAGTCTCCGAACCAATGGACCGGTAAGTCCGTTGTTGTTGCTGACATTTCCTTCCGTTTCCTGAGAAAGCAACCTGCCTCAGAATATTCCCCACGTTTTTTTCTGTCGGCTGGTGTTAATAGTTGATGTTGTCTAGGTGGCCATTGAATTGTTTGCTAACTTTTGCCATTTTACCACAACGTTTCGTCGCAAGCCCAGGTGGTGTGCTGTGAAGAGGTGCTATGTCCCAGTTTGTGGGGAGGTTCGGAATTTATATAGGGCATCAGACTTTTATTCAAACGCGGTGTTATTTCTCAGTGGCTTTCCTCTCATTATGCGAGTGTTTGTGAGGAAGACGGACGACAATTGTTGATTTACTGACATCTTTTGGATTATTCCTCAAATGGATGGCTTGTGTGGCTATTCCCTAAGTTCCAGGTGTTGGTGGTTGTGGGATTTCGTAGAATACATATTGACGTGCTCGAGTAGCGGTAACACGCTAGTCTTGCGTGCCAGATGTGCAGAGTTCAGACTCCGGCACGACCATTGGATATGAATGCTGATGGGCTCTATTAAGAGCGAAATTCAAGTGCAGTGCTTCCACCCTTTGGTGTGGACTCACCAGAATGGTTGCACTGGGACGAGCAGGCGATTGTTCAAACGAGTTATGTGAGTATGTGTTTTATTCATTAAGTCCCTAAAAATATAAATTTTATTAGGAATTGTCATTTGTCCGTTTGGTTGATTTGGTATTGCCCTATGTTCCAGATTTCTGGCCCATGGAAGGTCAGAATTTGCTGGAAGCGCTTGAACTCTGTCTGTTATTAACAGTTTATGAATTCAATTGATACAGAACAACGAATCAGATCCAATGCTTGATTAAAGATAGCTTTTCGGTGACCAAAGACTACATTAATCGAACAACTGACGCGCGCGCATGCTCTCCCAATCATCAAGCAAAGCGACTGTGTGAAAAGTAATCAGGATGATCGGTTCCAACCGTGTCCACGGCAGTTGTGATCGCTCTTCAATTTACCAGTGTTCGACACAGCTTATCGGAGAAACACACATGCTCAGGTCACCAATGTTGTCGATAACCCTCTGTCGTAACCAGTATGTGTTCACACTCAACGTTCTCCCTAATCCCACCCAACCTGATTCGCTGTTTCCTATCAGAGTTAACTACCTACACTACTGTCTGTATCTTCAGGCATCTTGTTTAACGTACTGTTTGGAACGCCTTAACATTGGCTACGACATGACGCTGGCTAGGTGGACCTTATAACATAGCTGTTTACCCGTAGAAACTGTCGGACTACTCAAGCCAACGCATTTTCACAGAAAGCAACGGATTGTATAACCTGAATTTTCTTCTGAGGAGGTGATCGCAGACGGATATTGTGCTATATTCTCTGGCGCTTTTCTTTCTTATGGTTTCTACCAAATTCCATGCGGATGCGTACTCACAGATAAAAGGGCGAGTGGGCCGAAGTACAATCTCGCATTGGAGAATAACACACACTCCCGACTCACACCTCTAGACTGTGAGTGGTCATCCCAAGATGATCTTGATTGCTGACTATTATTGCCGATAATTTCCCATAGTGAATTGAAACATCTTGTGATAGGCCACCAGTGAGGCACTTTTGCTCTCGTGGGATAAATGTACGAAGCCACGTTCCTTATCATTTACTGCATGTTAGCAGTCGTCAGATTGTTACTCATTATTACTGTTATGTGGGCTGATGAGAAGTACAATGTAGCCTTAGAACTTTTGCTCATTTCTACTGACTTGCTATTCATCCATTGTTTTGTGGCATGTTCAACACAGTACCATTCCATCCTATAACTTATAACAAATAAGAGTTATTCAATCGTCTGAAAAAGATAATCTAATTCTTGAGCGAGAAGCCGTCTATCTCTTTCCGTTGACGTGCGCAATCACGCTGTCGTAGGAACTGTACTTCTGGGGTTGTTGAGTAGGGTAAGAGCGGCGCAATAATTTACAAGGTATCCCCCTTTCTCTCACCATAACGAGTTGTAGCAATGTAACGTTGTGAACAAGGTTTTCTATATTCTCATATTGTAGGTGATCCATCGGCTTTAGAATCATTCACATTCCAACGACTTTACAAATTCCCCGTGAGTTATTCGTGTTTAATGCTCAATTTTACTGCATAATTGCAGCCATCTGTTGGCGTCAGTTACGCGGCCTACTCCTTTTACAGTTAATTTTCCATCGAGCAATGGAAACGGCTTTTTCACCGGCGTGAGGGGATTTGAATAACACATGGAATGCTGTGCACTTCCTACCCTCCATTCTTATCTTGTGTTGTTTTTGTCGCCTGTGTGTTTGTGTGCACAGAAGTGCGAAGCAACTGAATTCACTTCGCTCCTTATGGATCTTTTTCCGACAGTATGCTTTCACTGATCGAATTGTTTTGTCTGTTGCCACGAGGAGCGCCTCGGCAGTGAAGTCCCCTTCATTGGTCTTCATTGACCAACTACGAATGGCCCAAATGTGGTCCACTTTCGAATCATCTGTTAACTGTCCGAACTACAGCCGGCCTCTCATTTCAGCAGACGCGCCGTGTTCACGAAAATGATCTCTTCACTGATGGTCTCTTGGATAGTCGAATGACAGAACATTCAACCGATTACGAAGCGTCAGCTTAACCGCATACAAAAGAATTACATTGAGACTGATTTTCGCGTACCAGGTTAAGCCCTATTCCACTGATTACACGTTGCTCCTCTGGTCTTTTCACTTCAACCCGTTTACTGTCCAGTTTCATCCTGCCTGGTATACACTCGTCATGTTTTGGTCTTGGATTGAATTCGTTCTCACAAACAAATAATATTCCTTTGAGATGGTCGAATTGACCCCGTGTGGTGTGGACGGGATGATTTGATGAGCTGGTGAACAAGCAGCTTTAGATAACAACGCGATGGAACACTGGAATCAGCAAAGTGATGTAACCATATACGAAGCTTCCGTTCCTTGTAAGATTCACTTTTTTCATTCCAAAAAATTGTTTCCATATTAAACGGTTGTTTACTATTCTGTGAACAACAACGGCGGTGCCATGCTGGCGCATTTTACAGTCTTACATCCTTATTTTACTTCAAACAACTTTATTACCGAGTTCAGCAAAGACTTCCGCGTTTTCCTCCACCGTGCAATATTGCTTATGCTGATAGACACTGTTTCGTGTCTTCTGTTCATGGACATAGGATACTAGGTATCTTACGCGATCCGTACGCTTCCAAGCGTTTATACGACTCCACAAACTCGATTCTACTGGACATGAGACATGTGCAGTCCACGCTAACTCACTGGAGTGACGTTGCCTGCTCCTCTTTTTTTGTGGCTTTGGGAAGCTCTCACAATCTGCGCAACTTACTGGTCTTGTCATTTTCACTGCGTTTCTACACCATGTTGCCAGTTGCATTCTGTTTGTCTTATCGAATGTTTGTTGTCTGGAATCTCCGGTTTAAGTAGCTCCATGCGCCACCAATCCATTGGTAGGTCGGGTGTACCTATCTGTACGCTCACACCAGCTGCGTTCTTTTTTCCCACCATACGAAAGCGTTCGCTAACGTTTTATTTATTTATTTATGTATCTTTGTGGTTTGCCACCACAAAGTATGAGTGCTTATTGCACTCATACTCCAGTTGGATAACCACTCTTGGAGTTAGATAGATACTTGGCTGGGCGTGGTTGCTCCGCTTGAACTTTTCGTGGAAAGTTTCGGGAAGTGTTACGACAATTTTGACTGAAGGTATTTTGTACGATCTGTTGCTAGATTCGAAAAAGAAATTTAGTGCAGCCGAGCCCCCAACCTAATCCTCGGACTCCATATTCTGATTAGCAAACTAACTAAAGTTTGCAGTTGCTCTCAGAGGATTCTGTTGACTCTACCCATTTTATGCTTCTCTGGCAATTACAGAGTGGTCGTGCTCCACCTGGTTTTTTTTAGTATCAGTCTGTATACTAAGCATGCGATCTTTGAAATATCCGAAGTTTTCTTGTTCCTCTCACTGTTAGTGAGACGAACGCTGTGGTTACACTTCCACAATTTTATTGCAGTGAATTCGGACCCTAAGGCTAGGTTAATATGAATTGGACCTCTTGATCAAACTAAGCACGTACATCCGGTCTGCCGCGTCTGCCACCAGCACTCAATGAATACAGCCAACCAATTAATTTTGAATGTCATCAACTGTCACCGCCGCTTAGAACACAATGGCAGCACGGGGCGAGAGTGAACGGAACTCATTCTCCTTACTGCATTTCGCAAATGGTATCTCTGATTGCAGATGCTTTTAATAAAATTGAGGTCACTTCTGCCTTCCTCTCTCCAATAGAACTGATTATAGTGCGTTATCCAGCCTTGTGTCAAGGTGAAGTATGCTTATCCTTTGAGATTTCCATATCGTCCAATCGCCACTGTCAAACAAGCTGTGAAAGGAGGGGTTCGAAAAAGGGATGCAGAGAGTTTATACGACTACCCCGTTAACCGAAGTGAACATCAGCTTGTAGCAGTTAATGGAAGACAAAGTTTTGTCAATGTGTTTAGCAACATAAAAGTTGTTGTCAGCATCTCGCGTGCGTAGAAAACATTCCGTTTCCCTTCCCTTTACGAAACCAGTGCTGACCCGCTTAATCATGTCAAAATAGCAGATTTGTGCATTATTCGGAGTTTCTTGTTTTATGTGATTGCAAGCCTGTAGGTGCTTGTCTCCACGGTTTCACTTTCTGAAACTGAACTGTTGTTTTTAGGGTCGATGTGTTTGTGTAGTCTGCACACAAGTAAGGATGCTACAACAGGATGCGTACGATACTACTTGAAATGTTATTTTGCTCACTTATCACTTGATTCTGACTTCTCTGTTCAAATGACTGACTGCAGATAACCCGCGGATGTGTCGTTTTCCTACTTACACGGCGAATGATCGGGCATCATCCGTGCAGAAGCTCGAAATTAAATTAGACTTGGCGTGAAGTTAATCCCACTGACTGCTTTTTTGTATATATGTAGCCAGATCAAAAGGATCTTTCTGGAGTTTTATGGTTGACAAGAAGATCCGTGCTTCGAGATGATGATGTCACTTCGATTGGTGAGGAAACGTTTGCAATCGAATTGCCCAGCTCAATGAACAAGCCAACGACCACCATCTACGCTACCTGAGCTTACCAACATTTTCCTCTAGAAAATCATGTAGGAAATGTTCACGTAGTTGAAGATTCTCCATCGATAAGTAGCTATCAAACAGCTGTGGAGTGGAGTTACAGTGCAAAACGACCTTGAATTCCCGCTTCGCGGTGGGAGTTGTGACGAATTTAGACAGGACGGAACGAGTAATTGACATCTGCTATGCTGCTGGTGGAAAAGTTAAAACAAATGTCACCCTTTGTTTGAACTGACGGTTGAGAGGCCCATTGCTGGATGCACCACTGCACTTGGGCACATGTTTTACAGAGTGTGCAACGGGGTTGCAGTTTTTTCCACGTAAACTGAACAGCACAGCGTGACAGTAATCAATCCATTGCGGAAGCGCACACGAGGTGACAAGCCTCAACATAGGCTTGCGGGGCTGCACGCACTATTACGAGCTTCAGAATACAGACTGTCGTTCTCTTGTTGTGGGAAGTGAACTCGATATGCCTGACTAAGATGGTCGGTTCCAAGTTCTTCATCGTGGAGGACCTTCAAATCCAGGCTTCATCAACTGCAAATGGAGAAGGGTTACTGACCAAGCCGTTGTATGACCTATGAATCGTAGGTTCTGACACCTCAATGAAATTGGTTAGCTGTGACACCCTTTCGGTGCCTAGCTGTCATGCCACCCTAGGGAAGCCTGAGGGCTGGAATACTGCCAGGTTGCCCAAGCTTAGACACGGTAAGTCGAGAGGTGGAGGTCGGGTTCGAACCATGGACTTCCCGGTCAGTGAATTCGCGCTCTAAGCACTGAGCCATCTGACACCTCAGAACATTGGGCAACAAAGAGCACTCCTGAGACCACTTCTCACATGCATTAACTCCGATTAGCATATTTACATAAACTTCAGACGTGCCGTGTGCATATTAATCGCAAATCCAGAGATATGCATATTGTTGATGCATGTGTTGGAAATCGTGTGCTGTTTTAGCTACCAAGGTTTGCAATTTGGGTCCACTTTGTGAAGTAATCTTGAAAAGATAGGATGAAAGCTACCTCAGGGTCACATTCAGCGAGAGGCCGCAACAGCACCCCTCTGTCTATGGCGGTAGACGTATTTGTGTAAATCAAGGGGATCAACAGATCTACCATAACCTTAATTCTGTTAAGCGAAGAAGTAATTACATGTACTTTATAACGATGACATCGGATGTCATCTACAGTAGGCAAGCTGATTGAAGTCCACGGACAACAGAGTGGCCAATCCTTCCTTCAGAAGTACGCTTTCATAGTCTGATTAGTGTAGACAAACTGACAGTGCGTTGATACTTCGACAAATGTCTCTCGGATGCCGACTTAATCCTTGTCTCAGTTCACTACATGACTCCATAGGTACTGTGTGATCTATTCATTGGAATCACACCGAACGAGTTTCTCGAAATCGTAAATCGCTTGACCCGCCTTTTTTGGTTAAATTTGCGGATGTAGCTCTGCTCCTCGTGGGAATCAGAAAGCGAAACCCACATTGGTAATAATACTATGCAACCAATTGTGCATAGGCTACATCGGACGAGAGGGAACACTGTCAAGTTGTATGTGTCTGGTGTGTGACTGATGTGAGAAACTTGAGTGACAAAGCTCGCATCATGAAGTTGAACCGTTTGCTTAGATGTGCTGCCTAATATACTTATTTCCTATTTCGATGCTTCAGTCCAAGAACTTCTACGTAGCAGCTGGGGTCTTGATAGCCTTAGTAACCTTCTGGCGCTCAGACTCCGAGTTCTGAAACTGTTTGTGTCTCTTCATGTAAGATAAAAAGTTGACCACTGCAAACCTCCTTTCGACATTTTAACGATTACCTCTAAAGAAGTTAAATACTTCTAATAGAAAAATAAGTTTGCGATGATTTAGCGTTTTTCACAATCCTTAGGGACTCTGGAGGGTCGCAGTATCCGTTCTGAGGTGTTGAATAAGGGACTTCGTGACTAATCTATTTCGTCATTTGTTGCAGACCGTAGACATTGCAGCTTAGTTTCGCAATACCGGGTGGATTTGACCCACAGGATAACTATTTCGCCGAATGACTAGAAGGCGCTTACCGGGTGGAAATGTTGCCTAAACTTAGCTAGCAGACTAGCAATGAATATACACATGCAGTTTAGGAAGGAAGGTTCGATATCTTGTTGATATAATCTCCCTAAGTTGACGCCGTCGAATGCTTATATTGAGCATATTGTCATGGTTTTGTTGAAAATGGCTAACGTTAGAAAACTTGTGAGCCAATTGACAATCTTCGTCAGTGTTTCAACTTGAGCGGATTAAACTAACGCAAATGTTTCAATTCATCGGCAGTTTCTACCTGATTTGGTTAACAGTCAATTGTACCATGAGCTGATGGACTTAATCAAATGAACAACTGTATCGGAATACTTGAATTCCAGCTGTGTTGTGCTGAGATTCGATGGCAGTTTTCTTAGCATATCGTTTTATCTGAAAATAAAACTGGGGGAATAGTATAACCACTCACACGCGTCCAACGAAGGGCGATTTCCTTCGACAGTGTAAACGATATGTTTCGGACCAGGCTTACTCGTTACTTCGTTTCTGATAATTCCGCTGATTGAACACGTCTAAACTGGATCGTCAACTACTTCTCTCATTAGACAGCGTCTCGATGACCGGTTGTTTTTTCGTGTTTCGGAATGTGTTTTCCCATAAGCTAGATTGTTTTTCAGTTGTTCTTTCTACTCTTTTGCGTGGTAATGTCAGTAAATTTGCTCACAATAGAAACATTCTCCCAGGCCACCGCAGTTTCGGGAACCCGACCTATATACTACCAATACAAGGGGATAGAAGGATTTCCTAATCCGATATCACATATGGTGCGCTGATGGTTGCTCATCTCTCTTTTTCTTTATACCATTTTCAGGTTAGCAAACCTCTGGATGTGAAAAAGAAGTTCTCAGCGGTCGACGTGAGTTTTCGTTTTCTTATGTGGGTACTATTTTGTCACTGATATGATCGATCTGCTAAAGGTTTGAACTCGAATGCGCAGCTCTCTTTGTGGCGTTGCGCATGGGTTGTCCTTTCTTTAATTAGTTGTACTACCTTTTCAACCGTTATTCTCATGCAGAAATATGAACTACACTACATCATTTTCTAAACCTACAATTTCCCAAAAACTGTCCAATAACAATTTCCTAGCCATTTTGTCGGATTTCTTTTCCGGATACCATGGTTACTTTATCATCTGACTCTACAACGGCTTATTTGCTTATCTGTGCTGGCTTTATCTGCAAGCCCTTGCGGTTTTTAGACCATTCAACTGGGAAGTACCGAGGGGTGAATCCAGTGCATTTTTTCTTTGCTGTGGACGAACCGGAAAAAGTGCGCTTGGGATGAAGGAGAACTGTTTACAGGAGTGTTGTGTGAATATAAGTCGTAGGTCTGTACTGGTGATAGAAGAGACAGCGAACGGTGAATCGAACATTTCGGGCTTCCCGTGTTGCCTAAAGTTTGATAGCTCCGATCTTCTTCTCAGTCATGTGATTTTCAGTGTCCTGGGGTTCGGACATAGTGCAAAAATCCCGACAACATCGTTTCGGCACCTTTATTCTTTAGGCCGAACCGGTTCAATTTCTGTACGTATGACCTCTGTTTAAGACATCGGAAGATCTGTCCGAATCATTTACTGGAATGGTTGTCAGCCCATTCTCCAACTACCCTGAACCCCCATCTGACCGACATTAATGTGTTTGTATAACTACAACCTAGATTTACAGAATGTCAAGTACTGTGGCATACCACTACGGAGCATCCGAACTCCCCGTGATTCGGTCCGAAAATAAGGTCACGGTTGGTGGTATTTTCGGCTCTGTGTGTATGGGTGTGCGTTGACGACCGCCTTCATGCCTTGTCCAACTGCACAATGATCTTTTCCTTTTAGTTCCCGGGCATTCGTCATTTTTCTCTCCCTAGATTAGGCTATGTTTATTTCGTTTCCTTAGAACGCTGTGTATTTTGTACCGGTTTATGGACGAGTTTGATGTTTTACATCCTGGTAGGTCGAATAATCATTCTGTTGTGGGTTTTCCGAAAATCCCCGTCTTTGTTTGATCTCTACTTAAGTCGACTGTTCTATCTTCAAATCTACCCTGATTAGTTTATTGTTTGGGGATCGAATACGGCCGCCCTGCGTCATCACTACCACTCTTACCAGCTACTGGATACAGATTGGACTTTGAGCGCCAATGTCCGTATTTTTATTCGACTGGTATTTGTTTTGAAATGGGTGGGTGGACATGCTGGTCGCTGATATATTGTACGTACGGACTGGCAAACCAAGCGGTGTGCATCATTCTCAGGCCAAATCGACGTTGATACTTACGGGAAAGTGTTTTCTGAAACGGTAATTTTTCGAAGGCTTCAGTGAATTTTCTTGCTATATGAGAAGTGATGAAATTTCGGGATACGCGTGCTTTAACGCATCTTACAAGTTCAGTTATCAGCTCCTCACGCTGGCGGATTGGGGCATGATTTAGTCTTATTTTTCATAAATGAGTAACGAATATGTCACCTACCTGAATGTGTGGGACTCGCGAAGTTGATTATATGCCCTCCCTGTATTGTCTATGTTTGGTTCACGTGACTGTTTCATAACATTTGGAGAGAAACTGTTTTTGAATAAATCGGTCTTCAGAGATTTGCTGACCTGCTGATTAGTATATGAGCATTAAACAACCTTTTGCTTTTCGTTGATTTGCTCCTTCACTGCAGTCGAATGGATGCGTGTTCATGGAGGCCGAAGTACAAAATCTCACATCTGTTCCAATTTACCTTGAGAGGGTCGTTTTCGAGCCCAGCCCGAATATGCGCGTCGTGGACCTAAACACTATCGATGATGGAAAATCCAGGTACCAGTTTTATTTCAGTACTGTTGACATGTACTCTATTTTGGTGACATTTTCTCCGAATGGTTTGTAATGGTATTTTCCGGCTGTCTCGTGCAGTTGAGCTTGCAGTCAAAACGTCAAAGTGTTATTCCTCGTGGAAAACTCGTTGACAGCCCACTAATGACTTTGCACTGTTTGGGGCTCACCCGAGGGCGTAGCCCCACAACGAAACACAAAATCGGACATATGTGGAATAAAGTAGAAACATCAACACGCTTTACCTTGGATTGCTGAGTTAAATCCCAACCCCGATTGCCATGCGGTAATTCCCGTCATAGTCGATGCAGTCCTGACACATTATACTTAAAATGTGTGATTGCAGTATGTAATATTTCATCAACAAACTCCAAACTAAAGTTCAGGCGTCCTTCACAAATTAGCTAGGCATGTGGTTGATTATTTGCTGCGGGGGAGCAGCAAAGAGGGAAACTGGCCATAGGAACCTGTCCTTGCCATCTTTACAAGTCATTTAATGTACAAAATAGCAGCTGGCGTTAAACTGGCCTCTTAGACAGGTGGCTGCTAATCTGACGCTGGTTCATCCGGGTTTAACGATAGACATATAACAAATTTTGTGTTTAGATTCACTTTAAGACGTTTTTGGTTGAGACGTGAGTATTTTCAAAACATGATAAACCAATCACGTAAAGCTTGTTAGAATGTATTTCTCGAAAACAGTGCAATTTGGGTTCAAGTAGAACATTAGGTTGACGGAAACTTGTGGACTGTGCCTACTTGATGAGCTCCAAAAACATCAAAACCGGCCGTGGGCTGGCGAAGAATTTCCAAGCAATCTTGTGAGTAGTTCCCTTTATGAAAATTGTTGGAATATACCTTGTCTCTGGTCTTGTGGTTGGTTCGGACCATTTCCCAGGCTTAGCGATTCTGGTGGTGTCCGGGCTGGAGCTAGCACTCAAAGGACAGAAACTATGGTTTTTCCGATGCATGTTTCACCGTCCATGTAAGTATTCCTGCTTGAACATGAATTCGAGTTTCGTGTAAGCTTGTTCGCTTGCACGTAAAATGACGGGAATTGGCAACATTTATTAGTAATTAAAGGGTGCAAAAGGTCTTCTACTTAGCTACTAAATTCTGTAGAAATAAACCACTGCGTTTATCTGCTTAATGTAGATCATCCAATGATGTCTGCCTGCCATGAACCGAATGAAGTCATTATTAATGTCAAAATTTATGCAACGTTGGAAAACTTTGTTTGGGCTGGAGATTTTCTCAACGGCTGTCCAAGTTACACAATAAAACCCATTCTCGCTTATTGAAAACTATTGTTCAAAAGCTTTGTTTGTCAGCCGATATCTTAGTTCCAATGTTCTCAGTCGTCTTCAAGCCACGGAGTATTGTTAGTTCCTTAGACCTATTCATCGTTTATTTCCTTATCTTTACTCACGGTTACAACATAAAAACTCATCCAAGAAATTTGATACGACAAAATTTCTTGAGCATCATCATTTCGTTTTCATCGCATTGTCCGCTTATTCGAAATGATCAGCTTGCATCCTAAAAATACATTTGGTTGGTCCACCTACGGATTAGTTCCGCTCGCTATTTTATTTTGTCCCTTTAGTGTTGCAAAGTGTCGGAGCGAAGTGTCGGCATTCGGCAGTTTTCGCCTTTTCGCTGAAACTGTCAAACGGACTATAGCCGAACTATGTCTCACATTCCTTAAACGAGTCAGTCTTGTTCCCTTGAGCAAATTTCCCTCCGGTCAGTACAGCTGCACCTTTTGTATGAGTATGCTCTTCAAAAATCTTGTAAGGGAATATTCTACTTCATAAAACTTCGACTTAGTGATTGTCCGGAAATGGCTTCTGTACAACGGAAGCTCCTGAATCACTCACCAACAGAGACCTAAAACATTCCGCCCGGCGTCTTGCGTGAATATCAACCATGGGTTTTTCACAATGTGCACTCCAGAATGAATACATGAACTTTTTAAATAGCGATCTGACAAAATGTCGTCCACTTTTCCCGAGGGACAACGGCTGATTTGGATAGGAAAATTCTGTAACGCTATCACTTTGTGTAGTGCGCATTATTTAGTTGTTCATACTCTTCAACGGAACCAGTTGTTCATTCATTTCCTTTCACTGCAGATGAAGTATTCAGGTCCATACTTTTAGCAAGCCTCTGGTCGTGTTATAATGAGCCCTCAACAGAACCACAGAACAGTGGTTAATTCTCAGGACAGTCCACACCGGGCTTCGACAGTTTGGCAAATGACTTGATATGAAGAAATGACCGAAGCTGCTTCGAAATTAATAACGTTTTCACCTATAATGTGGGGGGGAGGGTAAAATAGGCAGCTGGCTACCGGATTTTTTTTGTTTAAAAATAATTTGTGGTGACTATCGTAATTTTCTATATGATTCCAATCCTATACATCACTATTGAGTGGTAAGGTTCAAAATTTATTTTCCCGCGGTGACTTTTCTTCGTGGGGACTCGTATTGTCATAGAAAGTCTACCAATGTGGATTTTGTACCTCGCCAGGGACAGTGATAACAAACCAGTGCGCTCGGGGTGCAACCATCTCCTGGTGCGGCCTTGCAGTTTCCCTGTTAGAGATAGATAAAATAATGACGTGGCTTGATGCCGCATAGTTTGCTTTTCGAAGCAAATACGATTGATGTATCATAACCGACTTTTAAACAATTGTGATCGAACGGATCGGCATCTTATGCATAAGTAAACTTTATTGGAAAACCTGAAGCTTAAAAACAGCAAAGTCGGTTACAGCACTCTGCAGTTGTCTCCAACGACATCCCAATACAACAGTTTTTTTTAACTATTTTCCTCATTTCTTTATGAGCAGTTTCCGCGCCCGCCCCGAGGGAATTTCCATAAGGTAACAAATGAGGGATAAAGTTGGAAGACGGACAAAAATTTTTCCTCTTCGGGTTTTTTGCTCGCTAACTGGGTAACATTCGTAGAGTTGTGCCTTCATTTTCTTGCGGTTGAACTTTAGGATGCTTTTTAATAAAAAGCTATTGTTCGCACATGTGCCTCGCAAGTTGACTTTGATCATCCACTCCACTGCGTTGCGTTTTATCGATTGGACCGTTATCCTTCATGTAACCGCGTTGTCCATTTCAGTTTAACCTTCTTCACGGGAAAGCATCTCGTCACTTTTGCAAAAAATGTCCTTATAAATGTCCTGAGAGTATAACTCTACGTCAGGCTAAGACCTAATTGATGTACACTGTTTTGAGTTTGATACCTCTGTGGATGCATCTTAAAGGGATCCTGACTTCAAGTACAGCATAAGGTTGATGGAAACTCGGGGACTCAGCCTACCTAATGAGCCCCAAGAAGGGCGAAACCGGTGGGCTGTCGAAGATTTTTCAGCAACCTTGTGAGCAGTTTCCTTTATGAAGATCCGGACTTCTGTCCAAACAATTTGTGGTTCCTGTTGGTTCACCTTGGGAATTTCATTGAGACATTTTTCATATTTGTCTCAATACAGGATACTTTGCCCATTTATGTTTCATTATTAATTGGATCAGTGCGTTCTGTGCATGGCGTATTCTACTGCATCCTACAAGACGGGTATTACACTTATACACTTATACATCATTAATCCATCATATACGTAATGTGTAGTAACCCGGGTCACGAACACGTGTTCCATTCATATTGTTCATCCATTCTTTGATTGTTTCGATTATGAGCTGAATAATTAGAATCGGATAGCCTTTTTTTCTTTTTTTTGCAGGTGGTGAGATATTGTGTATCTTTTCAGTTGATTTTCTCATGACTAGGCTCAAAGATGCAGAAATTTATTTGGAACTGAAATGCTACCCAACTTGGTACTGTGACTCTGCGGTCAAAAACAGACTGTTGTCCTCCAGTTTTGACGACTTTGAACGAATCGGTTTGTTTCTTTGCCACTGCTATTAGTTTTGTCTGATACCGACTTCAGTTGACACTAATATTTCTTTGCGGTTTGCTAGATTCGTGCTTGTTTTCTCAACCGTTTTTCGGCTTTTGACATCCACGAGTTTATCCGGTCGATAAACTGACATTTTTGTTACATTCGGTAGTGATTTTAAGCGTCTTGCGTTCCTTCTTGGTTTACAGTGTACCGACTTGCGGTGATCTACGATGCCTTCGCGCGCATGACATTCAGCAGTTTTTGTACAAACTGATTCCCGACTCAAGCCTGTTGGCCAAATCACCTGGTCAAAAGATGTCAGTCCGGAGTACACAGGGTCAAGTTCGACAACCAGTTCCTTCCGGGTCCGTCACAGCCTCACAGCTACAACAACAACAGCCACTTTCGGCCGGTCGACTGGATATCACCTGGCGTTCGACTATGGGTGAGCGTGGTCGTCTGCAAACAAGTTCACTGAAATACGAGGTATGGATAGGCATTTAGTCAAAATCGGATAACATGGTTAGGCAGTTGGGTTACTTTCCCACATTTTATGGGACTTTCTGGTGTGGACATAAAACGTCCTAGGCGTTAATACTGAACCCTGTTTTGTGTTTCATTGTTTCCAAAGGTGTGATAATTTGTGACTGGGCGCACTGTCAGCTGGGTTAGCCATTTGTTACAGTTTCCGATTGATTTTCTGAAGCCATTACGAGTTTGGTCAAATATGACTTTGGTTTGTAAGTGTGCGTAAAGGCAACCCGTAATGAATCTTTGGTAGTCTCACTCACTGGCTGACTGTCGATATAATCCGTATCTCAGGGGTTTCGGCCATCTGGTGCTCGCCGCTTTATTTCTCATACTTGTCTATCAGTGTTTTTTTTACTTTTTAGAAAACGCACTGGCTATTGTCTGTCAATGCTTTAAGAAAATTATCCGCTTTTTTGTATGCTCATGATTGATGCAGCTGTTTTCTATGAACTACGAGACAACTTGTCCCAGTTGCTTTGTCTCCAGTCACGATTAGTTGTATGTAAGTTTCTGTCTGGATCAGTGACCTGCCAAAGCGGATTGGTTCTCATCTTCTAGCACCCTCGTTTGTCTTTTATCATAGCCTGTCTGATGATCTTACTGCTATAGAAACGACCGTTGTGTTTTGACTTGTAAACGTGGTACATTGAAATTGATCGAAAGTCTCCGATAGTCCTCTGCCCGTTTCTCTCTATCTGGGACTCATCAGTTAGGGGTATTGTGTCTTCTTGTGACAGGGGTTAGACAAAAATAAGCAAAATTTGCTATGTCTGATTTCAGCGTTGATCAGATTGATTTGTAAAGCACACAGACACAGTAACCGTCTTGCTGCTCGTTAGTTCCTCTTATATGCAGCAGCTCAGACCGAACAAACTGCTAAATCACTTCAAATTTCCTCAGCACATAAGCTACCTCAATTTATTGTGACCAAATTCTGAATGTGGATATCAGGTTTTTTGTTGTTGACTATCCTGAATGAATGCACCAAACTTGAATTTTATTGCAAACCGCTTCGTCATGGCGTCGAATTCCGTTGAAGCTGCCCTGAATTTGCACCTGGAAGTTTGAAAATGACTACGCATACCATGAGGTAAATGATGTACGCTTTGTTTACAGCGAATGACTTACAACCTACTGATGAGATGTGAGCGACCTTTGTCAATTGGGTGTGCTCCGGATCATTCAGTTTACACGACTGGTCGGTGTCCAAACGTAAGCAGGTGCACGTTTAGAATCAATGATGGGATTGCGGTAGATATCAAGGAAAATGACAAGTGTATTCCGGTTACTTTATCTTGAAGTAAGTAACCCATACTGTCAAACAGACAGCTGTACGTTGAAAAAGTTGCATTCGGTTTTCTTTTGCTTGCTTAGAAATGGGTGGAAACACAGACTGGAATTCCATAGTCAGCTGAAGTCAGTCATTGATGTTGATGACTAAGCGGGTGTGGCTACTATTGTCCGAACGAAGCGAGGGAAGTAGTAACAGTAGCTACCTGCATCAGAAAAGTTTTGACCAAACAATAGTGAAGGAAGACATGGAGCAGGACTGAAATTCATTTCCTCGGCAATACACTTGTACAGGAGAACCTTAGTGGGTGTACGGCGCCTCTGGTAATTCCGTTGCTCATTTTGAACAACGGCCAGTTTAAAGACATCTGTAGCACCAAGTAAATTGAACCTAAGTGATTTGGGAGCTCACTAACTACCCGAGACAAACATTAGACCTGTCCTTGTTGGACCTCCGAGGCAAACTGTTATACATGGTCTGTGGAGTTGCTTTCATCATCCATATTTAAGTTAAGCCACTTGTGCATACATGCACACTTGCCACTAATGCATCTTCCTCATTCATTCATAAGCTTCCACATCTGGGAGACTTACAACTAAAAGCGTTGAGCCTTCCTGCCACGGTTCAGATGGAACAGCCGTTCCAAATCACGTTGGAGCTAACAAACCGAAGGTATGTCTTCAATAGAGTTTTTTTTTGAGCAACATGGTTTTAGCAACAACATGAACGAGGTTAAACATTTTTGGTGCACTCCTAATTGGTGTTAACGTTTACTTCCGAGCTGGTTCATAGCTCGGCGCTTATCCTCTCCTAGAGGCCAATCTCTGATACTTTTGATTTATCATCTCGTCGGTATATATATTAATGATATCATGGTCAGAGTCAGTATCGGAAGAGATCTTGTTAACTAGCTCTTATCTAGGCTCCCGATGACATTTGTCCAGTTGGGGACAGTGGTAAGGCAATTACACATCGGCTCTGAAGCGTCGGAATGCTTAAAAATTGACACGAAG